TGTGTCAAAGACCAAAACGGCATCATGATTCTTGCAAATACGGGCTCTGGATGGCTCTGGGCAATCCTCCAACTCCGTACCCACTCCGGTTCCTCTGATACTTCCCCACTCTGCCACGCCTACACCAGCTTGGCCAGCTCAGGCGGCTACAGGACCAGGAGGGCCAGCCCAGCGGCCAGCGGGCGAAACAGCGCGGCCACCGCGGTCGCGCGGCCTTGGCTCGACCGCCAAGCTTGCAAGCTTGTTGCATCATGCTGCTCTGTTTCTGAAAAGTGCATGCTTGCGGTAGCAAGATGGCCAACACTTGAACACCCCTCCCCCTCCTCAAGAATGAACTGCTACCCAAAGAACGATGAGTTTGTGATACCGTCATACCTCTTTGACCTCATTCTAACCACAAAAACGAAAACATTCAGCACGCAAGCGGGGAGACACCATCCCACCCTCCCGCTGAGGGAGAACGATCCGCACCCGCCTCCGTGAGGGGCAGCCGCAAGTCACGCAGGCGTCCTCGAGGAGAGAGGCCTTCGGGCGCGGAAGGAACGCACCATCGAGGAAAGACCAGCTTCCTGGTGCGGGGGGCGTTCGGCTTTCTGAAAAAAGGGGCACCCTTCAGGTGTCGGTTGGCAAGAAGGAACTCATGAAGTTGATCTATACTGTGTGCCGTCTTTGGAGTCTTCTCCTAGGTGGACACTAGTAGCTGCAAAGACCTATAATGGCCTCCACCTAGTAGCTTCTAGTTAGTAGAGAGCCTCAAAGACCTACTAGTAGCTTCTTGCTACTACAGGTGAAACGATTCCCAGTGAAACGATTCCCAAGGAAGCTTCTTGCTCCGTTCGTAGCGATGCCCTTGTCCGGTCGGTGGACACGAACGATTTCTTTAATCAAGAACCTAGAAAGCCCATGGCGGTATGGGGAAGGCTCCAACATCACGAGCCTGCCGGGCTGGGGAGATAGAAGAAAAGCCTTGGCACGGAGAACATACGGCCAATTCGACACTGGCAAAAACTAACATCTCAGGGCGTTTTGGTCAACAGCAAGGAGTGGATCCCTCCAAAAAGTTCGTACAAAATCACCCATTATATCTTATCCTATTCTATCGAGCCTCAATAAGACCCCTGTTTGGGAGCCAAAACAGGATCTCTTCCTATCAAAACAATGGTCAAATGGATATAAATTGACAATACACATATGATAACAATTTGTCAAATAGATATACATTAAAATGGATCCTTTTTTGGACACTTCTTGTGGATGAATAGCGATCCAAAAGATCCAAACGACGCTTGCAGAATGACTCGAGTGACTCACTGCAGTCGACCCCATCCAATCACCCCAACTGAAACCTTCTTCGAAGCCTTGGGGAAGGGCTGTGAAGGGAAACCTGATGTGATTCAAAGCTGCTGCTGGTTGTAGTTCCGACAGGTGTAGGTGATTGTAGATGATAGTAGGTGTGTGTGTGTGTGTCCACTCCTGTTTCCAAGGACACTACTCTAGCTATTTCTATTCCTATGACTTTTCAGACCTTGTACAGTAGCAGGGGGTGGTAGCAAGGCAGAGAGTCTACCACCAACGAAGACGCTCTCTAAGCCTTGGTGATACTGGGACTGATCATCCCAGCGTACCTGCACAATTCAATTTTTAATCTTCATTCATTCGATGTTTCAACAGTTCTGTTCGACCGACCCAGCACTTTCTTTTCAGTCAAGGTATAATCTGCAGTAACTCTAAAGGGCTAATGCACACCGCGAAGCAGCCTGAAATCGCGCTCCACGGAGCAACCTTCTCAAGTGTGTCTTCGCAGCTTCTTCCCACCGTGGTAAGCTGTGTGATCCCTACGGGGCGCCGTTACTGCAAGAACCTTTTCACTCCTCACCGCAGGAGTAAGTCTTCCTGAAGACTTTCTGAAGTTTACTCGACTGAATTTTCCTGTTTGAAATCAGCTTGATTGGAATGTCTCACCTGGCACACGTGAAATGTTACTGCAGAGTTCACTGAATTTTCCACTGAAATATACTGCAGAGTTCAACTGAATCAGTTTCACACCGGAGAAGTCTTTTCCAACTTTTAATTTTTCACTGCGCCGATTCGGCTTCACTTCGCTCATGAGAGCATTTACCCCACCCTTCACCCCCTGCACCTTTTCTTGTTTTTCTTTTCTTTGCCTTTTCGTTTGTTCCTTCCTTCAGGCTTTTTAGTTATTATCCAGGCTCGTTTAGTCAACGCACGCCCTGCCCGCCCCCCCGCACCCCCTGCACCTTTCTCTTCTTTCCTTGCCTTTTTCGTTTGTCTTGTTCTTTGCTTCAGGCTGGTTAGGTGGCATCCAGGCGCGTTTAGTCAATGCACGCCCGAACACCCCTTCACCCCCCTGGCAGGAAACAGGAGAGAGAAAAAGAAAAAGAAGAAGAAGACGAAGAAAAAGAAAAAGCAAAAGAACACTGCGCCGCGGCGCTACGACCACGGAGAAACAAATTTGATCCACTTGCTCAGGTGTCGCTTCGAGGAAAAGACGATCCGCCAGCAGAGTTACCTTTCTAGTTGCGCCGTGCTCGGCTCATTGTGTGTGTCCACTCCTGTTTCCAAGGACACTTCTCTAGCTATTTCTATTCCTATGACTTTTCAGACCTTGTACAGTAGCAGGGGGTGGTAGCAAGGCAGAGAGTCTACCACCAACGAAGACGCTCTCTAAGCCTTGGTGATACTGGGACTGATCATCCCAGCGTACCTGCACAATTCAATTTTTAATCTTCATTCATTCGATGTTTCAACAATTCTGTTCGACCGACCCAGTACTTTCTTTTCAGTCAAGGTCTAATCTGCAGTAACTCTAAAGGGCTAATGCACACCGCGAAGCAGCCTGAAATCGCGCTCCACGGAGCAACCTTCTCAAGTGTGTGCCAGAAACGACTGTTTGAGTGATGCTGCGAGAAGAAATGCCAATGTGCCGACCAAGACAACATGCCGTCTGAAGCTTCCACCGAACCTCGCTTCCACTGTTGTGATTGAAGCACACAGTCTCCAACAGGTGGCCTCCATCACCCAAGCCTGACAAATGGGAAAGGACCCCCTCCCCCGAACCCCAAACCCCGGGACCCAGCACCGCTGATCGTCTAGTCTAGGGCGCCCCAGCCCGGCCAGACCTGCGGCGAGCGCGGCCACCAGTGCTGCATCGACTAGAAGTGACCAGGTCGAGGCATTCAAGTGGAGGCTGGGCCAGGTCCAAGGCCTCAGCGTGCCCGCGCGTGGAGCACGCACAGAGCAGGAGGACCCATGGGATGCTAGAAAGTGTATGACTCCCTCCGGTGATGAAAAGTAGGTGCACGTTTTCTGTGATGATTCTTTTCTCCAGCGGCTCAGATCTTTTGATCTAACTTCCTCTAGCCCACAACCCATCCAGAACGTACTGGCTACGGTTCCTCCATCTCAGAGTATGAGATGATCCTGATCATCCAAGTGAGTGCATCTTCTTGGTCACCCCCGCCTGAGCTTGACATCTTCCTTCGCTCCTGAAGTTGCTTTCGGCACGTATGTCTCACCGCGGCAAGCGGCCAGCTCCCGGCGCGCCTTGAAAGCGAGCGCGAAAAGCGCGACCCGGTGAATCCCGGTGTGACCCATCAAGTGAAAACGAAGGAGAGGAAGCGAATTGGGGTGATGGACAGTGATGGAGGATCAAGCTTGCAGTAAGGGAAACCGCAACAGACAAAAATCATCAAAAATCCAGAGGTCAGAGGTGATGGAAGATGATGCTGCGGAACTTGGTGAATCAACCGTTCGATTGATGATATGCTACCCCTCATCGCTAGCCCTCCATCCCATAAAAAGATCAAGAGCGCATCCATAGGCTAAAGAGCTGGAAGCTCCAAGACATGTTTGTCAGTACGGGATTCCATGGAAGCTTCCTCGCTCAATTTCGAGCTCTACCATTTCGCTTGAGCTGTAGAGACCCCATTTCGCACAGTTTTGTACCTTACGTAATTCACCTTGGCGAGTGCCCAAACCCAATCTGCTCATGGACTTGGGATGTGGACTACTGCTCTTGGACGGCGAAATTCAATGAACTGAAGGGCGCACAACTCCCCCCCCAAAAAAAAACAATGAATGTCGCAAGAGCAAGTGTCAAAAGATTCTGCTGCCAAAAGCCCCTTCAAACGCAGGCCACTTCGCAAGCGCCTCCTCCTCCCACGCCCTCCGCGCGGCGCCTGGTCGAGCTTCCGCCGCAGCGCCGCCGTGTCGTCCGTGCCCACCGAGGGCTCCTGCAGAGGCCGGGTCCGGTCGCGGTGTTCGGTGCTTTAGTAGGAAGATGTAGGAAGCCCCCAATCTCCACTATCCCGTCCATGGATTGCCAGCCATCGTCCCATCCGGCTGCCCTCGCTCGCACGAGCCAGGACAGCAGCAGCGTCCGGAACCACATGGCACGGGCGTCTTACATCGGGCACAGCATTCTACTTCAAAGGAACATGGTGAAAAACGTGGTAAGTCCTCAGTCCTCCCCAATGGTCAGGAAGAAACTCGATAGATTCTGGAGATTGACATCTAAACGTACTAAATCTCCAAAAAGGCTCGAGGCCTGAATGCCTTTTCTTGGAGGTGTTGTGAATTACTCAAGCTTTGCCACATGCACGTCATGCTCATCAAATTGATGGGATCAGAACATGTATTTCGCCAATGCCAACGTGATTGGATCTTCCTGGTTCCACTTCCTGTATTTCGTGGCTTCTATGGCTCTCGCGACTTGAGATACACCTTTCGTTTGAATGTGTGGGTGCCCGAACAGACCTTTCCTGCGTGACGGCTTAACAGCTGCGGGAACGAAAAAAGAGATCCAAAACTCGTACCATACACGGACAACAACAGAAGAGTGCACGGAAACCGAGGGTAGATCTTAACCTCTTTCTGCCACTTTCGAGGCAGGTGAAGGCTCTTTTCGTGCTGAGTGTCTTGTGCAAGAAGCATCAACAAGCAAGGAAAAGACATATAGAGTAAAAAACTCAGCTGCCCACTTTCGAAGATGTCCGTATTATGGCAGGGAGAGCGCCTCAAAGGACCACCCCCGCACGCGACGCTGGTCGCGTCGCGTGCGCTTTTGGCTCGCCCCCCACGCTCGGCCCAGGTCTAGCCACATCAAGCCGAGGCGCCGAGCCACCCAACATGCGTGGCACGTGCGTTGGCTGTCTTCAACTCTCAAAGATTTCGAAGCAAAGGGATGCTAGAACGGAAATGTCCTGCAGAAATGAGTCGAGCCCCCAGCACCCAGTTTTTCGGAATGGCATCCCTATAGACGTTCCCCCCCCCCCCACTGGCTGGGTGCCCCTGCAAACCCATGACTGGTGCATGGATCAGCAGGATGCTGCTCACAAAGCTCATGGTGTCATCCTCAGCTCGCTCCGCGAGAACCAACCCCAACCAGGTCCTTTTAATGTCTTTTATATATTAGAAAAAAAAACATGTGATATGTTACTTGGATCAACCTATTGCTATTGTAATTGCTATTGTTCATATTAAGATGATAATCTTAATAGTCTTTGTCAATTTCCATATGCGGCGACAGAATTCCGAAAAAGCTTTGCCGCACATTCGGTGGATCAGAGATGAAGGCCATTTCAGCCACCCCGTCCAACAATATTCCATACAATGTAGACCCTTGATGTACCAGCGACCCCGCTGCCCCGGTTCCAGCCGAATGCGCCAGAAAACCTGCCGGTCCACGAATTCTCCACAGATCCCGTACAGATCCGGCACGTCGTGGTTCGACCATCTGGGAGGCCCGAACGCAGTGATCTCTCCGTTCCCCATACCAAAGGTAGAGCCTCGGATTTCGTGGCAGATGAGACGGCGGAGGATTTCGTGGGACGTACCGTCGTCCGATTGTGTCAATGGATATTGAAACACAGGGTGGCCCAGGGCCTTCTGTAGTGGAATGGCTGGAGGATTGGAATCATGGGAAGACCTACCTCTTCGGTATTCCAAGATCTTGAAGCCCTTCTTTATTTGTTTATATACCGGTTGTATATATATATATAGGTTTTCTTTTGGGGGGGCAAGAAAAATTCAACCTTCAAAGTCACTAGCTTTTTGCTGCTTGAGTTGTTTTGACGCAGTTCCCTCGCATGGGTGCAGCCATTGACTCCCTGCTTCAAGAGAAATATATAACTCCAAGAGTGTCGGTGTTGGCCAAATCGCGAACCACAAAGGAACACCTGGAAGGCCTCCAAGGCCTGCAAGGTGCTCAGGATCGGATCTCGTCTCAAGCAACTGTTGCTTGGCTCAAAAACCCGTCTCCTGCACCTGCACGTATACCACAGTGGTATATATAGGGGGCTCTAGGCCACCACTGCCGCGAAGTGACGGATTGGACTTCAAGATGTTGTTCATCGGCACTCCGTCGAAGGGTGCGTGGATAAAGACCTGAGGTCACCAGAGACAGGTCGCAGCGTCTCGGAAGTTTGAACAGGTCGACTGGCGTATTTGGGCGGACGCAGGTCGTCTTGCTGGGTCGGTGAGGCACCACTTCGCAGGTCGGAGAGTTTGGGCACACTTCTCACGAAGTGCCGGAACATGGTCAACTCACCAGGATGGTGGCGTTTGATGGTGTTTCCAAACTTCAAGATGTGTTAAATCTTTTCCTGACAGTATATGAGCAATCGCCCAAACGTGCCATGACCAGTTTAGTATAGTGAACTTTAGGAACTGGGCACCTGCAAGCAGCGATGCTTGCATGATCCGTCAAGCCTCAAGGATATCTTTACACACCCCATTGGAAACCACAGAACCAGGCCCAAACAGTCCTTTCATGCTATATACCATCACACTTCTTGGAACCAAAAAAAACCAACGGCCGTCCTTCTGCTTTTCGCTTCGCTTCGGTCTGCGCAGATGTCGCACCGGCATGAGGCCGAGCGCATTCGCATGGACCAAGGGGCGAAGGTCCAAAAGGTCACCACTGGGCTGATCACGAACCATCCTTGGAAGCGGCAGATGGAGCTTACCAAGGGATGGAGGTTAGGGTGAAAGGCCACGGATGGTGTCGAGGCGTTTCCACTCTACTCTGAAAAGAGGTGTGGAAATACCTGCTAAACTTCCAAAGTTTACCACGTGTTCGTTCTGTAGAGGAAAGAAGGATCCGTGCTTTCCTTTCCACTTCCAGGTCAATTTTCCAGAGTCCTCCAGGGTCAGTTGGCGGCTCTCAGCCGGCAGTCCCTCATGTGACGTCCTCGTGTTTTACTCCGCGACCCAATAATAACAATAATAGTAATAATACCAATAAAAATAACGGAACACCTTGAAGGAGGAACCACACTTTGGATCCTTAGCCTTAGGTCCTCGATGGTCCTGAGATTTGAGAATCTGGATGTACTTGACTGATGAACCAGATGCAGAGCTATCCACTGGCCCCGAAAGCCTGAGTGAACGATGCCCTGGGGCCCTGAATGCGAACCACCTACACTGTAGGTCCATCTGGTCAATGCCTTGGAGATTGATAGATCTGATTGTACATTGTGCCAGGCCCAGCGTCTCTTTAAGGCATGATAGGCCACGCCCTTCATCCAAGACCAAGCAGAGGGCGCCTGGGGAGTTGAGTTTGCCACTGGAGCGAAACCACCCATGGATTGATCGCAGCGTAGAAACACTTGAGACCTTGGCACAAAATAATATGACCCTGCTTGCTCTTTGAGACTCTATTTGATGATGACAACAAACTGTTCTTTTAAAGACCCAAAAGATCAACATCCATTTCTCATGCTGATTCGCTGATGCTTCGTATGGGGGGGGGAGCGCTTGCGCTCTCCAAAGGGGGAAAAGGCAACGCTGCTCCGCTCTCCGCTCTCCGCCTGGGCGGTCACTGGCGATCGACGGGCGGCGCGGTCGATCGTCGCCTGCTTCAGGGAGCGGCGACTGATGCTCAGATGAACCATCAAGACCACGAAGCCAATGTTCACCCGGCTAAGGCAGCCTCACCCGGCCGGAGGCAACAAACCAACCGGAAGAGTCACGCGACCGGCAGTCACTGTAGTCACTACATAGCCCTATAGGATCTCTTCCCAGATGGCCAGCGTTGGATTGGCCTGCGTATGAGGTGCGGTGGTGACAGTGGTTACATGAATCGTCATGCTGCAAGGACCTTACGCCGCACCTTACGCCGCCGCTTACGCCGCGCGTAAGGCGGCGAACGCGCGCGCTTAAATTGGAGTCGAGTCGAGTGGCCGGTCCACCCATTGCCTACCCCCCCAACAGATTCTTCGAATAACCCCACCAACATGAGGTGGATCAACATCAACATGAGGTGGATGATAAACGCCTTGTACTTCAACCATGACTGTGGTGGTCTTTGCTCAACCTTCACTCCCTGACCTCCGGTGCAGCACCTGCAGCAGCACCTCACCCACTCCATCACCTCCCCAGCTGCAGTTGCAGTACCTCCTCCCAGGTATCAGAGATACTCTTGTCAAAACGGAAGCAGAAAGGACAAGAATTCGACCAAAAGGCCAGCTTCAAGCACTTCCAGCGTTCCGGCTCCATTCGGGCAGCACCAACCATCTCCAACCAACCGCCCCCGCCCTCTTTTCGCCCACTGTTCGGCCCCAAGCCACTGCGGAAGAGCATCAACGACGCTCCAAAGCTTCGGTGGGGAACCGGCAGCCAGGGGCCATGGTCGATGACATGGATGTAGAGCACCTCGACGTGCGCACGACGTGCGGTTGCGGCAGAAGTGCCCAGTCCCGGTGCCAAGGTCCGGTTTCAAGGAAGGGCGGTTGGGAGCTCGCCTTTTTGAGGGGTGTCCGTTTTTGGAAAATGGAAGATCCTTGATCCTTGTAGAGTGGTGCAGTGGTGGATCGATGCGGATGTAGAGGCCGGAGTCGGCCAGAGAAGAAGTAGGCGTCATGATGACATCCTGGCAGCCGAGAGCCACGTCTCCAATGGACAGACCGTTCTTCACAGCTCAGAGCTTTGTACTCCACGGGTCAATGGATTGGGATCGATCTCCTCACACGAAGTGATTCTAGCGTCCGTTCGGGACAAAGATCGTCCTAAAAAGGGACCAGGCGGGCTCTATATAGAGCAGGGTGGTTTTACCAGAAGTGAGTGTGGATCATGAGCCCCCTCTAGTGGATCATGAGCCCCCCGTATCCTCCATGAAGCACTCCTTTGGAACTGCTGCTGAAACCGAGCGCCGCCCCATCCGGAATCCGACCCATCGATTCTGCCCCAAGCGCCACCAGAGTGAGCAGCAGGCGGGTGACTTCCAGGTGCCTTAGGGATCGACTGGGCTACCCGTTGCACCGCGTCCGACCATCCGCCGAAGAGGTCTCGACTTGGAAGGTCTTGAGCCCATCGCATGGGGAGAGAGATAGAGAGAGAGGGAGAGATGACCAACATGAGAGATGGTTGGGACTTTCAAACTGTAGCTACAAAATAGAAGCCCACCCCGTTTGGGGGGGGGAGAGCTTGGACCTCTCTAGCTCGGCGCTGCTTCCCCCGCTCTCCCCGATGCTTTTACCAGGCTGCTTCGGTCCTCTCGACAGGCCCAAGCGCACCCTGAGCGCCAAAAGTGCAGCGCCACGGCGAGGTGCCGCAAGGTCACCCCACTCCGCATGAGAATCTACATGTCTTTTACGCCTCTTCTTTAATATTCTGACCATCTATACAATATATCTTCATGATGGTTATTGTTATATTAGGAGAAATCACCATCTTATTTGCTTTATGTCAAAGGTCTTCCAACATCAACAAGACCCTCTCTTGAGAATCCGTGGGTGGATTTCCCAAATATGCTGTCATGTGGACATGCGAGGTAGGTGAGAGGTTGCTTCGATTGGGGGAAAAGAAACATGCGCAACGAAACAAGGACTCCCCTTGGATGAAATAGACAAAAAAAAAACACATACACTGACACTGATGACCATGGACGCTCATCGACCTCTCGCCAGGGGACCCCTTTTGGTTCTTTGAGCCAAATCTCCCACTTGCCTTTTTCAACCAACTGAGCGAAATCAACTCCTTCACCCCTCTGCCGCCCCCCCTTCGATTCTTTGCCAACCTCCCGCATCCTGCACACATTCGGCACGGTTGCGAAGGCCCCCAGGCCCCTCCCCCCCAACTTCCATCTTCGGAAAGTTCCGTTCCACCCCCAGGCGTTCCGCGCCAATGGAAGTGCGGAGAGAGAAAGGAGCTCTCTGCATCAATCTCCCTGTGGAGCCGCGACGACGCACGTCGTCCACGTCTTCGTTCGGCGTCTTTGGGTCGGTGAAACCGGTCAGGTGAGCTCCAACAACCTGAGGGAGCCTTAAGAATATAGACCACCAAAGGTCCGAGTTCCTATCAAAACTGGTCAGATGGGTTCTAGGCAACTTTGAGGGCCCCTGATTAAGTGATTCGGGTTAGTTCATAACTTCCAAGACTGCCCTGTGCTGTGCTGCGCTTCAAAAAGAAACAAAAACCAACATAGCCCACCTTCCCCAGCTCATAGCATAGCAGCACTTTTTTCCATTCAACCGAAGCCGACTCATCCCTTAAAATGACAGCACCTGAAGGGCGAGACATAGTTGCCTCGCCTGTCACCAAATCGTACCACCATTTTTGTTCGTTTTCCGGATTGATATACTCCTCGTACAACGTTCTTGGTCTGCCTCTCTGAAACTTGCTAATCAATTCGGCTAGCCTGTCTGTCGTCTCCTCTCCTGGTCTGCTCTGAAAAGAGTATCCATGGCCTGGAAAGAATGACTCAGGAGAGCCCGGAACAACTGTTTGCCCACCCAAGCCTTCGGCCCCTTCAGGGTCCGTGAATCGGCCTATCACGCTTTGGCATGGCTGCCCAAACATGGTGGTGCTGCCGAAACATGGAGTTACTTGAAAGCGAACAAAAACTTCAGAGGTTGAAGCCACACGGTAGTCCATGTTAGGACTCCGGGTCATCATCATGAGGCCGGTCAAGTGGTCGAACATCAACCTGCGAACGAGAGGACAACGGGATGTGCTCTTTGCATGAAATCGAAACCCTTCTGTGCTAGCTTGAACATTCGGCCAAGACCTTGAACATTCACCATTTAGATTCTGACAAAGAGAGAGGAGAAAAAAAGAAAATAGGAGAAATGATTCCGTCAATGGCCCCATCCAGTCCCCACCTGCCAACGATGCTGCCACTTTTACCAGGCAAGTCCCAGCTTTGCCAGCGCAGACGGTCCGGATTTTCGCTGTTGTACAAGTTGGAATAATGGCTCGGGCCGCACATTGGATTCACCCATAAGCCATGCTGGTTGGGACAAATGGGACAGCAATGCTCCTGTATACCGTGGTTGTCAAGAAGTTCCAGCAACCTTTTTGCTGGTTTGCTCATCATGGTCTTCCAATGTGGTCTCCCCCCATTTGTCGTAGGATATTTGTCAGTCCAATGTGGCCAGCGGCCGTCATCGTTCAGTGGGCAAGCAACTTGAGTACCGACACAGTGCCACTCTCCTGAAAGGTTGCAAATTGAATCGGGCTGAGTAGGCTTCTAAAATAACATAATCCAAACATCATCCAAACTTACGCATTGAAATTTAAAGCCCCCTAACAGTATCCGAATCCTATGCCCTCGGTGGCTTGAGTGGGATTTAGGCCCGACCCGGCCTGTGGTTGGAAGCTGCTCTGCTCGTTGAACTTGGAGCCCAAGAAAGCATTTCTTTCGCTTGACTTTCAACTCACCAGTAAGGTAGTTGATGTCCACTTTTCCCAAGACAAAAGTCCAAGACTGCCAGTACTGTTTCCGAATCTCCCCAAGTTCAGAGCCATATGTCTTCTTGTCCGTGGTCAATTTCTCTTGTAGCAACTTGAAGTGGTTCGCACCGCAAACGTGATGAACATAGCCAGCACGGCCCTGTCGAGGGCAAATCGTACAAACTGCCGAGATTCCAAACGCACTAAGCAGTTCGTTGATGAATTTTGCTGAACTTTGAAGGCGCTTGGTGTATGAGTCTTTACTCGTAGGCAAGGTGTCTTCCGGCTCTTTCAGCAAGCAGTACGCGCCATCCAAGGAGACATCTGTGAAAAAGGTTCGAAGCGTTTCTTCATAGGCTGGATTTTCGAGCTCCGGGAAGTACTCCTGCAAGTCTTCATAGGGCACGTCAGAAGAGGTCATGAAAGATCCACCAGTTGCCCATCACCCACACAGGGTGGCAAAGAAAAGGAACCAGGCTGAGGATTCAACTTGTTCATGTTTTGAAACTGGTGTTGCTGAAGGTGTCATAATAGGCACAGTGGGTGGGAATTTGGTTTTGTTGCTCGCCAACAATGTTCAAATTCGCTGTAGTTCATCTTCTGCCCACAAACTTGGCCAGCACATTGGCTGCTCTCTGGAGGTCTGCGACAAACACTCCTTTCCGCCACACAACCATCGGTAATGTGATTGTTGATGAACATTTGGAGCCAACATCTGCAGCAACACAATAAACTCGATTGTGGATATGCCACTTTCATGTGTCCCTTTCGCTGAAGAAGAACACGCGGGTCCACTTGGCGTTTCACCAAGGCCCAAGCACCAAACAAAAAAGCAACACAAAGCAACACACAACACAACAATAAGCGTGCAGGCTTTTCCATGTATATATTTCTGAATTTCTTGGGGGCTGCATGGGGCTGCTGTTTTTTAGTATGGATGCTTCTGAAAGTGACACCAGCATTATAAGTCTATTTGCGCCGTCGCGATGCGATATCGCCGAGGTGACTCTGCCGGGAGTCCTTCTGCGTAAACGCCTCATGAGTTTGTAAGTTGTAGGCTAATTACATGTTTTGGAACAGCATGTCATCTGAGGTCCTCAGCACCAGTACGGACGAACGGGCGCCGCAACGAACGAACCAAGACCTACGGAGCCAGACGCCCGTTCCCGAGGAGCCTGGGTGCGAGGTAGAAAAAGACCATGATCACCAAGAAGCTGAGGACCTGAAGATCTGCCGACTAAGCTGAGGACCTGCACCTGCCAATAGTTGGAGCCTCGTGAGATGTCCTCTCGACTCTTCCTCTCGAAATGTCCTAGGGGCAGTGCATCCCCACTCACGCACATTGGTCCTATGGACAAACCACACGAGAACAACAAAAATTGATGTGCCTGGGGTTCCTCGGTGCAGAATGAACCCTTCTTTGCGGAGTGAAGCCAGAACCTGCACTCTTTGAAAGAGTGCCCCGATATTTGGAAAGACATCTTCCGGACTTACTTACGAACAAGGCGGTGAAACGGCGGGGGGCGTCATGGGCGAAAAGAGCATCACAAAAAGCGCGCCAAGGAGTGCTGCGAAACCTGCGCCAAGGAACCAGCATCAGCTGTCTGGACAGCCCAAATCTGGGCAGTGGATCATACCTAAGCTGTGTAGAGACAGCCCCTCAAAGCTGTTGGTTGAGGGGTGGTGAGCAAATGAAGGTGTGCCAAACAAGTTCTTCGGGGATTTGTTTATTCCCCAGATAGCGAAGCTATAGGGGTTCTTACTTCTCAATGGATGGGTTCCTCATTGCGGAAGTTGGCTGCCGCTGTCGCTGCCGCCTTGTTTCCCAAGCTTGTCTCCCTTCATGATTTCGCTTTGCCGCTGCCGCCTTGTCTCCGAAGCTTGTCTCCCTTCATGATTTCGCTTTTGGCTGCCGCTGCCGCCTTGTCTCCCAAGCTTGTCTCCCTTCATGACTTCGCTTTTGGCTGCCGATGCCGCCTTGTCTCCCAAGCTTGTTTCCCTTCATGA